CTGAAGGGTGCGCAGGTGCTGACTGCAGAAGTAGAGAGCCCTGCTGAAGGGTGCGCAGGTGCTGACTGCAGAAGTAGAGAGAGCCCTGCTGAAGGATGAATTTGGAAACAGCAACAATGTTTTTCTGAGTTGCACTGTGTATGTTGAAAAAAGCTCACTGCTGCACTGGGTGGGGGGATCATATGGAGACCCCACAGTAGCCCTTACACAGTACAAGTCAGGCGCAGAATGGTTTTAGCATGGCAGCTTAGACGCCAGCATGCAAGAAAAGCAGTTCAAGGCAGATGGCCTGGTGGCCACAGGACCCAAGTGCGAGTGGCAAGGAGGCGAGAGGACGAGCCTGGGTGTTCTTGTGTGAGCTGCGTGGAAAGTTGGCGCAGGAATGAGATGAAGGTTTGAAAGTTGCTCTTCATGATTGTTTTTATTCGCTCTCCTAAGGGAAGTTTTTGTACCTTCTAAATCTCTTCCTAGGTGGAACACTTTCTCAAAGAAACAGAGTGATCTAACTGTAATTCACTGTGCTGACTGTTGAACTTCACATGTGAACTTGAGCTCGGCTCACCGTTCAGCTGAGACACAGGTACTGGCTGTTCTGGACGTTGTTCTGAGGAGAAAATAGATCGCAGTCGAGCCCGTGCCCTGTTGGAGAACGCTGAGCCGTGGTTTCCGTTTTTCTTTCACATTCTGTACAGTGGGGCTCGTGGCAGCCTTTGTACTCTTGGGCTTTTTTGCATTTTTAATTTCTGTGGCAAACAAGCAGAAATTAGAGTTGTGGGTAATGTTCCATAGCTTTTCTTTTTTTTTAACTAAAAAAAAAAAATCTCTATGGGAAAACAAATGGCATAAATTCTCCACTGAGAAAGCGAGGTTTGTTTAATTTAAGCTAAGAGATTAATGAACAGAAGGGGGCCTCCCAAGTTCGTGGTCAAGTGGCATTCAAAGAATGGGATTTTGTCCACGGACTTTCAGAAGGCCCTCATACAAATCATGGAGGAAGTTCTGTTTCAGGGACACTCGGAGAAGGGAACCTTGAAAAAGGAGAATGTTGGGATTGAGGGTTCTCGCCACTCGTGAAGTTGTTTTTAACCCCACTGGACTCTCTTGTCTTGCTTACGCAGTAGATAGCAAATGAGGTCTTTTTTTTTTTTTAATAGAAGTAGGCAAAAATTACTGTCTCAGTTTCACCACATGGGAAAATAAGATGAATAGTTATTGCCTTATTTACAATGCGTTTCTCTTAACTGGGTCACTTAAAGACGCTACAGAAGAACAGTTTGTCTTTCCACACCCAAACACACTTGTGCAAAGAGGGAGTATGAAACACAGGCTGTTGGAGAAGATCCTCATACTGAGATCTAGTTAGGTATGTGGTAAGGAAATGCTTGTTGCTCTTTAGAAACATCTATTTTTTGAATTTCCATTTATCAATCACTGCAAGTTATAGACGTACCCCTGTGGCATTGGCTAGAACGAAACGATTCCATACACTGGAGCCCTCGTCCACTGTGCCCGAATTCTGCCCTGCGATCAAGAGAGAGACAGAACTGTAGCTCTGGGACCTGTCCTTTGTCGTCTTCTGCCGCTAAATAATTCAGCTTGTTCGTTTCTTATCTATATGCTGAAACTGCTGAAGAATAAATACTATAGTGGCACATACCCAAGGTGATACTTTCTAAATCACATTTCATTGAAGTACTTTCTACTTCCGTTACTGGATCTGGTATCTCCTAAACTGTTAAGAAACCAGTTACTGTTCATGATAAACCACTTGCTCATGAAAAATGTGAGGTTTAACAAATAAGGAATACTTGCTGTATTTATTCAAGTGTCTATTGCTTACGTGTTAAATGTGAGCAGAATATTGATTGCCTATTTGTTTTCTGCAATTACTATACAGTAACTTTTTGAGTACGTTGAAATTTATCTGTGCAACAAATTTATATTAGAATACAATTTGAAGCATTTTTTCCCCTATAGCCTTTTTCGACTGGGGAAGCAATTAGTACACTTTGTTCTTGTACTAGCTGTGTTTCTATATACTATGTACCCTGTGTCTCCCAGAGACCCTAGAGTACGTTGGTCTTTGCCCCCCGTTTGTGGGTTCTGTTTTTGTGAGATTTTTTTTTTTAAATATGCAGACAATAAAATGCCCCTGCTTGTTACCCTGTTGCTTCATTTCTCTTTCGTTTGTTTGATCTGGACAGAGGGCGGTCATAGCTGCTAATATGTGTTTCCTACCCCTTGGGCCTGGATGCTCTGCCAACATTCTCTGCCACTCACTTGCCACGGTCCAGCCGCGGCGGGGTGAAGGGTCGGTCCCCTGTTCGGTGGGTAAGGCGTCGACGCGAGAGGGATGAGCAGAGTCAGGAGTCAGTGATCATCTGCTGCTTTATTACAATTTTAAGGTTCTATTTAAACAATATTTTCTGACAATCATACAATCAAAGCGGAAAGAAAAAATTCTAATAATAAAAGGTGCAAAGCATAGAGTTTTTCAGGGCATTCTGTTTAAATCTTCTTGGAACGTTCTTTCTGGGTGACTGGTTCATTTAAGTTTTCAATCTTGACCAACGTACATTGTGATTAACCGTAGACATGAATGGTTCTTGAAATAGGTCTGTGGTAATGGTGCCAAACAGTGTTCAAGTTCAAGGAAGTGGATAGGAGAAAATTGTCATGAACTTAAAATACAAAGTTCTAAGTTAGCTAAATATTCTTTCTATGCTTCATCAATCTTACGTTCTTTAAGCCTTCGTTCCATTTCTTTTACCTGCCTTTTCAATCGGGCTTCCACTGTTCTCTTATTTCCATTATGCACCATCTACACAATCTACATTTTTGTGGATTGTAATAACATTTTTGTACACCTTATTTTGTCTTCAATAGATCTAACGCACCAAACTGGGCCACTCCTTTTTGTTCTTTCCCATAAAAATAAGGTTGAAAATTTTACATGCTTCCCATGTACCTCAATAATATGTTCTCCATTGTCGTCATGAATGCCAGTGTAATTCAAAGGAGGGAGAGCAGTCTTAGGGGTTTTTTTCATTACTGTCCCCTTTACTATAAGCAAATTTATTAAGGGGTTCTACTAAGTGAATCAAGGGTTGTTTCTTATCTTTGGCACTCTTTCCCAGAAAGGCAGTCATAGGGAACTTCTCAGGAGTTACTGTAGTCAGTTGGGGTTGTTCCAATTCTAACTTTTGCATTTTTCCATAAATATACCAAAATCCTCATTCCCTTGTATGGCTTTGATAATTAACTCAGTCATTCTATCATTTGCATCCCTTCTCTTTATGGGTACTGTGATTTCCCCTGAATTATTCATCGTGGTCTCATTATTGCTCATAGTGGCAATAATGATTTCATTTTTACATGGTCCGGGATAAAACATAAACATACTCCAGAATATCATAGCGGCAACACAAAACAATTTGTGAGCGGATTCCGGCATCCAATTCCTACAGTCCGACTTCTTTGAAGTCGGGCCATCTGTCGCTGGACTTTGTCCTCAATGTCAGCCGGCAGGAGTGGTCCCATCACTCACTCCTGGAAACAATTCTGTAAGCCGTCAGTTTTCCCATTTTTCAGATGAGAAAACCAAGGTTCGAGCAAGTGAAAGCTTCCAGAGTCAGGGTCTTCACATCCCCTGCCTGCTTTATGTACGGGGCCGTCAGGGTTCCCCAGTGCTGCCTGAAGAAAAGACACCACAGTGGACGACTATAAAGAATACAAGTTTATTTTCTCACAGCCTGGAGGCTCAAAGTTCAAATCAGGGCCTTCCCTACTGATGAGATCTTCATCTGGCTTCTGCCTTCTGTGTGTGTATTTGCATCTCACCTCTCTAGAAGACAACACTTAGAAATGATTAGGTTTAGGACCCACACTCCTCCAGAGACAGACTCGCTAAGAGAATAAATCCCTATTCCCAAACTGGACCACTCACAGGCACAAGACTTAGGACTTCAACATAACTCTTCGGGGGGACACACTTCAGCCCATAAGCAGGAGATGCGTATGATCTCGGGGAGTTGGTGAAGCACAGCATCAACCTGAGCGTTCGGCGTGCAGCCAGCACCTGCATGCAGTTTCAGCCCTTCGCTTCAACTAACCGGGTTTGTGATTGAACACAAGGTGGCTCAGACCCCGAAGAACTTAGACCTCAGCTAAACTGGTAAGCAGTTCCTTTGGGGACTAAAATGAAAGCTTACTGTGTGTTTCTCAAAACAGACAAACCTTTGTTTTCACTGATTTTTAAAAAATGTGTATTGTAATAAAACCCAAAGAAGAACAAACCCACTGTCGGCAAGTCCGTGTCGACTCAGAGCAACGCTATCTTGGGTTTCGGAGGCCTTGCCAATCGTTAGGGGAGCAGACAGCTTCATGGCTCTCCCTCAGAATGGCTGGTAGCTCTGGACTGCCTTACTTGGGATTAGCAGCCTTGCTTACCCAGCACCCATCGAGCGCCTTGTTTATTACATAAAAACCCAACCAACTGCCATTGAGCCCGTTCAAGCTCATAGTGACTACAGAATGGAGTAAAACTGCCCCTGTGGGTTTCGAGAGTAAATTTTTACAGCAGTAGAAAACAACCTCTCCCCCAGAGAGCTGCTGATGCTTTCAAACTGCTACACTTACCAGGGCTCCATTTATGCGTCATTCTTGTTATAGTAAAGAAACTCACAGCCATCGAGTCAATGCTGACTCATCGATCCTATAGGACACGGTAAAGCTCCGCCCCTCTTAGTTTCACAGACTGACTCTTCATGGGTACAGAAAGCTCCACCTCTCTCCCACGGAGTGGCTAGTGGTTTGGAACCACTGACTTTGCAGTTAGGGGTAATCACTATGCCAACCAAGGCTCCTGTTTATTATAATAGAAAAGAATAATTAAAAGGTACAAAACTGTATTAGTCTAGGTACTTTGGAGAAACAAATCCATGGTGACTCCAGTATAAAAGAGAGTTTTCTGTACAGAAAGTGTGCATCACGAAAACATCCCAACCCAATGCTGCCCAAGCCCACAAGTCCAACATTAACCCATTAACCCAACACTAGTCCACAAAGTCCTCCACCTCACAAAACAGAGGCAATGATGCCGACTGCAGGAGGAAAGAGGAGTCAGTAAACGAATAAGCATCTCAGCACTGGCAGGGGTCTCCACATGGCTGCTCCAGCACCCAGGGCTGCATCTGGATAGATCCATGTGGCTTCGCCTTGGGGATGTCTTGTAGGAAGTCAATCTTGCAAGCTGAAGCAGGGAGCTGCTAAGGCAGCTGCATCCTGGTGCGACCATCACAAAGCAAGAGACCTGAGAAGTAGAAAGGTGAGGCTCACCACCCATTTATCCCT